AAATGCCTCGCGAGGTTGGCCAAACCTCAGCTAGGAAGCTCCGATCACTGGCGGGAGTCCAGAGAAGCCCCGGGAATCAGCCCATGGCAGGGAGGTGGGGCGAGGGCGCCCTCTGCTGGCGCCCGCAGTCGCTGGCTTCCGGTGGAGCCCGGCGAACTCGGGGGTCACAGCCTGGGCCCCAAGCTAGGTCTGGCCACCCATCTTCAGTTAGCCAATTAGAAGAACCAACTTCATAGAAAAAAAAAAACCAAACCAAAACCCAAAACCGAGAGATTTATTCAGTGGCCTCATTAGGAAAAGGAATAAAAAGAGGCGCGACCTACCCAAGTCCATCCCCCTTGCAAAATGATTAACCCAGCTGGGCTTGTTGACTGTTACACCCTTTCATGGAGGTTGCGGGGGAGGGGGTGGGGTGGGGGTAATAGGACCCTCGTCTGAGTATCCTGCGGCTCCAACCCTGCCCTAACTGCACGTGGATTCTGGGAGGGGCCAGGGTAGATAGGTCCGGTAGGACTAGGGAGACCGCTCCATCTACACAGCTCCAGGGAAGCCCTCATCCCTGATGGGGATGCTGGGGATGCAACCTTTTAGGGGAGCACTCGCACCCCTGTAGGTACCTAATCAACTAGGTTCTGTAAGGAAGTCCAATCAACTCGCTGGTGTCCCAGAGTGAACTTTGGTAGAATAATTGCTCCTTTGGTTTGTCATTGGGACCTCAGGAGGAGGGTAGATGCTGTTTATGTCTCCCCCCCGGAAAGAAAATTTCCCAGGAATTAACACCATTGGGGGGGTGCTGGAGTGCAAATTAACTTTGTTTTTGTTTGTTTAAGATTTATTTACTTATTATGTATACAGCATGTATGACTGCAGGCCAGAAGAGGGCGCCAGATCTCATTACAGATGGTTGTGAGCCACCATGTGGTTGCTGGGAATTGAACTCAGGACCTCTGGAAGAGCAGCCAGTGCTCTTAACCTCTGAGCCATCTCTCCAGCCCTGCAAATTAACTTTATATAATGACTACAGATATGCACATCTAAGCAGTCCCAGCCATACCCACCCACACTCACCATTGACGCGTCCATGTGTGGGCTTCAGTCTCATCCTGTAAGTTGTTAGAACTGCTGGAATCTCTCTATTATTATTTATTATTGTTGTTGCTGCTGCTGCTGTTATTGTTATTATTCAATTGTTTTTTTTTTGTTTTGTTTTGTTTTGTTTTGTTTTTTGAGACAGGGTCACCATCAGGCCATGTCACTGCTGACTGAGCCAGACAGGTTGGGGTGCCAGGGCATTTACCCTCCCTGCAAGGAGAGGCCAGCAGAGGCTGGGCAGGACAGAGCCCAGTCAGGCCAGTTACAGCTGGTAACAGCAGATCTGGGACCCACAAGTTTCCAGGGCTCTCTAGCAAACACCGATTTAAAGAAAGGAAGTGGATGTATGAATGAGGAGACGAGGGATTGATTCACCTCAGTAGCCCCACATCCCGCCGCTGGAGGAGCCTGGTCAAGGCTGCACACTGGATCGAGCTGAGGTCTTCTGTCCTTAATTTGGGGAGGAAACACCGCTTTTGATGATGTCAGCGGGTGTGCACTCCCATCCCGTCCACTCTATGAGCTTTTCCTAGGCATGAGTGTGGCACCTTGTGAGAGACTGAGTGATTGACATTGTTTATTTACCTGGATTGAACTGTGCCCGAAGCTGCACCGTAGAATTCTCAGTTGTGTGCGTCTATCCATTTCTCCTTTCTACCTGAGCCTCTTGGAGGTGTATTCCATATTTTTTTTTTTGGTTGCGTTTTCATCATTTAGAACAAAGAGGAGTAAGCTCCCTTTATTTAACAATTGCTCAGGTAGCCTTATCTGTGCCTCCTCCTACCCAGGAAAGCCCCTCCCCCCATCCTATTTGGGTCTGGAGTTCCACTCTCAGCCGCCCCTCAGTCCGCACAGAGTGAAAAGTATTGATTTTGGGAACCAGGAAGGAAAACACGCCTGTGTTTACACACCCTTCTCAGACCAGTTCCTCACGTGACCCTGCTCTGCTTACCAGCCTGAATGTGACCCTTAAAGGAAAAGGGACCTTTTAAAAGCTCACAGATTTATGTTTAAGGACAGAGCTGGAGCAAGGGGAGGTCACGTGGAGAAGGTAACCTTGGAGAGGCCTGACCCGAGGTGTGGGGACCCTGGACAGAAGGGCCATCTGAGGTGAGGAGAGGGGGAGGAGCTGGGCTGACCCCAGGCATCGCTTAGGGGCCCCAACAGGTTTTCAGGGGGCTGTAAGAGGAACCCTGAACTAGTACACTCTTGTGTGCTTGGTTCTCTATGGGGTATGGAGCCTGAATGTGGAACACAGCCACGGGTTTAAATCATATTTTCAAAGGAACCCATACCTCCCAACGCTAAGACTGGTAACTGAAAGAGTCCATGTCTTGAAGGACCCTGTCCTCGGGTCTCTCCTGGCAGCCTGGTGCCCTTCCTTGGTGCCTTGTCCCATGCAGCTCTGCCATGCATACGGTTCAACTGCCCCAGGCTCCTGTTCAGCCACTGCTTCCTCTGATGCAGCCATTCCTCATCTGGGGCCGGGTTCAGACTCCCCTAATGCCACACAACCATCCCAGGTCCCCCCCCCCCCCCCCCCCCCCCCCCC